TGGATGGACGAGTTGCTGGGCGTGATGCAACGAGTGCAGGCCGACGTGGTGGTGATGCAACGAGGCCGAAGTGATCGACGAGCCGGCCGGTGAGTTGGTGTAGTCGACCGGAAGGCCACCGGCCAAGAGGCCGGCAGACGCGACCGGATGTGGCGTCAAGTGGGCCGACTGAGGACTGGCCGGAAACAGACCGTTCATCGTCGGCGTGCTGGCGGCAGAAGAACCGACTCCGACAACTGAACCGTGACCGTGACCATGACCGTGACCGTGACCGTGACCGTGAACATGACCGTGACCGTGACCGTGACCGTGACCGGATGTGGAGGCGGCGAGCAACTGTCCCAGATGGGAGTGGCCCAATTGTGGTACCATCGGGCTGGAGTCGGCCAGCATGCCGAGATGCATGTGAGCCGGATGGGCGTTGGCATGTGGGTAGCCGGGCGTCGAGGGCGGCTGTGTGTGGTGCGTGTGGTGCGTGTGATGCGCGTGTGTCTGCGGTGTGGAGAGCAGAAGCGGCGCCAGGTTCGACTCTCCCGTTGGCGGGCTGGGGAATCCGTGTGGCCGGTGGGCGGAGCCGGTGGGACTGGTGGTGGCCGGACCGGCCGACAACAGACCGCCGTTGCCAACCTGCCCGACCGGCCCAGCAACGGCGCTGTTGACGAGTGTGAGTCCGGCGCCGGAGCTGGTGATCAGACCCGTCGCGTCATGGTTCATCCAAGCCGTGATACCGGACGGCATGCCGACCGAGTGCAGTTGACTGCCACCGCCGCCACAACTCGACATGCTGGTTGCTAGGCTGGGTGGGTGGGTGCTGATCTGGGAGGTGGCCAGGCCCACGCCGCTCGACGTCAGCGTGTTGCCGCCGGCGTTGGTCGACGTCGTCAGGGCGATGTTGGGCATCAGAGGCTGCTTCATGCTGGGCTCCACTTGCAGCGGCCGTGGCATCAGCTTCGGTCGTCGACGTTGCCTGTGCATTTTGGCGGGTGGAAAGCGAAAAATTCCCATCTCGTTTACTCTATTTGACTAGCTTTACACACACGCAAACACACGGGATGCTAAGCAGCTAATTTGTATGGGGAAAAAAAATGTGACCAACTGATGTAGTCAGAGTAAATCACGAGGAATCACACTCTACGCATATTGGAGTGGCTTCGAAAACATGTGCTTTCCAGCTCTGTTGATGCTCATCACAACGGAGCCGACTAGTCGGAAACGGCTTTTCCGCTCAATCCAACAAGCTTCCCACCTCGCTGGTTGTGCCCACTTCCATTTCGGGTGAAAGTGTTGGGTGAAGAGATTGGAAGGTCGATTCCACCCGACGATGAAGGAGATTGCCTCGGAAACAGCGCCAGCATGAAGGTTCCAGTAAAGCCAATCGACAGCTGGGCAAGAGGAATCCGCCGTGGGGTCGACCTTCGTATCTCTTCAGCGCACACAATGATGAAACAAGAGATTGCTCGAAACCCAACTTTTCCTCGCATATAATCCTCGTTTTTTCCAACCAAATTATCACACCGTTTGAAAGTCTGTAGGTTAAACATGAAGTAGTCAACAAAAGCATAGGATGTCTCGTTAAAATCGCAAAATTATGCATATAAGTAATGAGTTTACTTGCCGCCGGCCATCTTTTTTTGGCCAAATGTAATGATGTGGTTTGTGTGAATGATGTCTCATTCACTTTTGGGTTTTACCACGGCAAGACAGACGAAATATTAGTCTTCACTCTTCAGGAGCGCGGGACGGTATTCAACAAAGTCAAATGACGAATTCTTCTAATTAACTTTTACTTAAATAGATTTCAACTAGGTTTAAATTAAAAAAAAGTAAGAAATATTAATATTGCAGGGGCCATACGAGGATATGGGATAGGAGGAGAGATGCCACAACTGTTTGTCACACATGTGGTCATTTGTCTCTTTGACGAGGTATAGTTTGGCTGCTGAGACTGGCCAGACTCACTGACGATGCCGGCGAGACGTCTGCAAATGTACCAAGTCCACGGAGCGACTGTGGAAATGATGATGCCTACAATGGACTCCGGACTGGGTGAGTTCCTGTCGGTCTTCCTGCCAATGTGACCAAGTGTCGGAAACAGGGTCAGGCAACTTTTAGAAAAGTTTGCGTCTTCCGGTGCTTGATGTCCTGACTACTCATATACTACTGACTTGCCAATACCTTGTCTTCAGACAGCGGCTTTTCTGCCCGTATTCATCAGGTCACTGATTTCGCTGAAAAACAGATCGTATTGCTTTGATAAACGACCTTTTGCCTCTGATCGCAAACTGTCTGATTTCGCACAATTCAACAAGTGATGCTGCTGCTTAAGTGAGGTTGAATTAGTAATAGATTAATGAGATTTACTGGTAGTCTCGAAACCCTACTCTAATACGAATATAGTAATAGATTGCTGGTCTTGCCAACAAAATTAATCGAAATTCATTGGCGAATATTAGCCTTCCTTTTGGCTTTCCATGATTACCTCCAGCCCGGTAGGTGAAAAGGAGAGGTGATTTTGAAGAGTCTGCATAAAAAACTTTCTAAAATTGACCACATCGGGACGGAGTGGGATGTGAAAAAAGTGAAACAGATGAAAGTGGTCAATTATCTACTGACCTCTGACTTGATTTATTGCAGTTAAAGGGAAAATGGTTGCTCGGCCATAAATGAAACCGGTCCGCAAGAAGGCCAGCTTCCTGCATTCGAGAATGGATTGCCCTTCTCAATTACTTTCCTACAAATATGCATATGCATATGGTTTTGATGCATGAGCCAGCAACTTACCAGC